GTCCTACAAGGCGGAGGAGGTAGCCCCTGAGCAAATCGTGGGCGTTTATTCTTCCGAGGCTGCCGACGTCGGCCACTTCTTTGGAAAACTCCCCCCAAATATTCCTTTAAATATAAATATAAATATATCTTAAAATTATTTCTGCAGATCATCTGGATGCTGACGGAGAAATGCAAAGAGCTGGAAGCCCAGCTGGAGGAGCACCTGAAAATGCAGAGCCTCCTGGCCAAGGTGAAGAAGTCCAACGGGAGCCTCTTCCAGCAGAACTTGCTTCTCCGGTAAATCTCCCCCGCTCGCTCCAGAGAAGGACCAGAGTGGCAGGATCCCTCCCAACGACCGGGGCTCCCTGGTCGTAAATTGGGATTATTTCATGTAAGGGCAGACACAGGGCTCTTTCTGCCTTCAGTCGGAAGGATGGACTGGCTTCTGGGTTGGCCCGTCTGCCATCTGAGAGGAGGATGGAAGTAGGAAAGGAAGATGGGGAGGGAAGAAGAAAAACAACTTTATTTTCTTCCTTTTTCTTTTTCCCTTCCTTCCCTCCCTCCTCTTTCTGTTTCTCTTTCTTTCTCTTTTCCTTCCTTTCTTCCTTCTTCTCTCCGTTTTTTTCTTTCTCTTCCTTCCCTCCCTCCATCTTTCTTTTTCATCCCTCTTTCCATCCCTCTCTTCCTTTTCCTTCCCTCCTTCCTTCTTTCCTCTTTTCCTTCCTTCCTTCTCCTTCTCTTTTTCTTTCTCCCTCTTCCTTTTCCTCCTTCCCTCCCTTCCCTCTTCTTCCCTCCCTTGTCTCTTTTTCCCTCCCTCCCATTTCCACCCCTTTCTCTCTCTTTTCTCTTCCTCTTCCTTCCTTCTCTTGTGTCTTTTTCCTCCCTTTCTCTTTCCCTCTTCCTTTCTTCCCTACCTCCCTCTTTCCATCCCTCTCTTTCTCATCTTCCTTTGTTTTTTTCCTTCCATCCTTCTCTTTGTCTTTCTCTCCTTCCCTCTTTTCCTCCTTCCTTCCCTCCCTCCCTCCCTCCCTGGTCTTTTTCCACCCTCTTTCCGTCCTTCTCTTCCTCTTCCTTTTTTTCCTTCCTTCCTTCCCTCCCTTTCATCTTTCTCTTTTCCTTTTCCACCCTCCTTCCCGCCTTTGACTTTTTCCTCCCTCTGTCCATCCCTTTCTTTTTCTTCCTCTTCCTTCCCTTTTCTGTTCCTTTCTTCCTTCTCTCCCCTTCCTTTGTCTCTTTTTCCACCCTCTCTTTCTCTCTCTTCCTTTTCCTTCCTTCCCTCCTCCTCCTTCTCTTCCTTTTCCTTCCTTCCCTCCTCCTCCTCCTTCTCTCCCTTTTCCTTCCTTCCTTCCCTCCTTCTCTCCCTTTTCCTTCCTTCCCTCCTTCTCCTTCTCTCCCTTTTCCTTCCTTCCTTCCTTCCTTCCTTCCTTCCTTCCTTCCTTCCTTCCTTCCTTCCTTCCTTCCTTCCTTCCCTCCTTCTCCTCTCCTTCTCTTCCTTTTCCTTCCTTCCTTCCCTCCTTCTCCTTCTCTCCCTTTTCCTTCCTTCCT